TATATATTTCTTACCTCTGTCTAGCCACATCGAGCACTGTTACGTTTAAACCTTAAAGTAAATTTGATAAATATTTATTTGTCTACCTGTGTATTCACGCATACAATTCCTAATATCTAGTTATTTGATTTACTCACCTCTATATGTATATACAGTTTAATAAATATATAAGCAGATGTACTGTTTAATAAATATACAGAGCGTCTATTCAGATATGGATGTCCACTAAAAATAACGTTGAAATAATTCTCACGAGCGCATCTGTCCTAACTCTGACACAGACACGCGCGTACACAGGCGCATGCGTGTGCGCCGCGCATACGTGTGCGCCGCGCATGCGTGTGCGCCGCGCATGCGTGTGCGCCGCGTACACTATGAAAAAAAGAAACTCGCAACAATGAAATATTTATTTTTATGCCTACATATGTCGGCATGAAAATAAATACGTTGATCCACATTAATTTTTAATGTAAATTATGATTTATTTTTAATGTAAATTTATTCTAATACAAAATGGTTCGGTGTTTTTTTTTAAATAAGATTAAGTAATCTCCCTTTAATTAAAAAATTAAAAAATGAATATTCACAACTAAAAGAAGTGCGTGAAACTCTCAGTCAGGCTTGCGATGAAGGTTAACATGTATATTTATTAATATATATAATTAATAGCTCTGTTGCATTACATCGAGCACTATATGTGACATATATATATATATATATATATATATATATATATATATATATGTATATATATGAAGAAATATAATCTTATGATGTGCTATATTTATGGTATAAAGTGCTCAATATCAGAGATAGAGCGTGTGTAAATATAAAAGTGAACATGAAGTCAACACTTAGAGGCGACAGTCTGTTTCATGCTTGACGCAATCGCCTCTAAGTGTTGACTTCTATGATCACTTTTATATATATATATATATATATATATATATATATATATATATATATATATATATATATTATAAATATATATATATAATATATATATTATATAATAAATATATATTATAATAAATATATAATATAATAAATATAAATATTAAAAAATAAAAGTAAATATATATTCTTATTATTAAAAATAAATAAAATAAAATATAAATATTATATAATATATGTATATTTTATAATATTCTATAATATATATATTATATATATATATATATATTGATAATATTAGTGGTCAATATATAATATATATATATATATATATATATATATATATATATAAATTTCAAGAGGATAGAATCCAAGTAGAGCTCAATGTTCAGGACAGATCAAGATCCATGGTTATAAATAATTACATTGGAAACGTAATCACTATTCCAATTCATCAAACCTACCTACCTTTTACCTAAACAGATCTTCAAGTTAATTTCCGGTGTTGCCCTGAAGATCCGTTTTGGGTGAAACCTAAACAAGTTTGCACACAACTCCTAGGATTATCTTAGGTCTTGCTCTACTTAGTGTATTGAGCACTTTACGTAGTTGTCTTTTCATTCGTTTTGGTTTTTGCACTTTTTTTCTTTGAAAGCTTAAACACTGGACGATTGTTTTCGCCTTGTTTTAATGTTCTTGGTTCTTTTTTTCTTTTTTATTCCCCATTTTTCCTCGGTACGTTCTACTGCAATTTAAGCTATCCGAGGTTTATCCAAACAGTACCACCATATATATATATATATATATATATATATATATATATATATATATATATATATATATATATACTAGTAATATTCTGTTGGAAAAATCTCCAGATAGCACAACTTATAGGTCTATCAAAACAATATCCCGAGAAAAAAATTGGAAAAAAGAGAAAAATAGAAACATCCAGCTTACATAGGGTAGGTTGTTTCTGGCACTTTAGGATTTATTTCATTTATATATATATATATATCTATATATATAATTATTTTTATAAAAAAATTATAACATAAGTATGTTATAAAATCACTACAAAAATAGCTATTTTGTTTCAACACACTCTGTGTCTTATCAAGTGATGATGTTGAAAAGAAAATAAATGTGAATTTCTAACAAACCCACATAAGTTAAACTAAATATGTTAGCTCTATCACTGGTATTGACCGCTTTTCAAAAAGTACCGCTCATATAATATAAATAATATATAAAATCTACATATATTATACATATATTATACATATATTATATATTACATATATTATATATTACATATATTATACATATATTATATATTACATCAGTGTAACCCGGATATAAGAGAGTTGTCGGGACCGGAGAATAAGTCTCTTATATCCGGGTTTCTCTTATATCCGGGTTTGGTCTATTTTGTTTAGGTAAGTATGGGAACACTTTGGGACCAGAGAAAATCTCTCTTATATCCGGGTTTCTCTTATATCCGGGTCTCTTATATCCGGGTCACACTGTATATATATATATATATATTAATGTCATTTCTTTACCTATTGTTTGTTTCTCTATTCTATTAGACCATTTTTATCTATGTATATTTACCCGTATAAGTTATATTTTAATATGTGGTTAGAATTCATTTAATAACACCTTCAATCTTGAATATTTCTTGAGTGTTATATCAGAGTGTCTATATCAATGTATGTGGCTATATGTACGTATCTTCTTCGGTGTCTGTGTATAGTAAATTGCATGCACATTTCATTGTGTATGTGTGTGGTTTAAATTTTTTTTGTTTTTGTCAAAGGTCGTGCAAATATTTCCTGTCTCGTCACTTTTTTTGTGTGTATATATCTAAATATGTCTGCGTGCTTATGTATTATAATCTGATTGTGTTTGTATTGTCTTTCGCAAGATGTCATAATCCCATGTATACACTTGTATCTCATTAAGTTAAGGGCAGTCGATCTTAGCGTTTATTCCAATGTAATTTCAATAGAAACAAAATGAATAGAATAACATATGTATTTTTTCTTTTTTCCTCAATAATTTAAAAATTTTAAACTTAATATAGATTAAATTTACATTTTTAAAATGGGTAGTTTTTAATTTTAATTTCAAATTTTATCGTACAATTTAATACTTATTAGTTAGAATAAATTCTATTTTAGTATAAACCTAACTTTAAAGTATTTAATAGTTATTATAACCTTAATTCGTTGTCAAGTTTTTTGAATTCTCGTACTTGTATTTTTATTGGTCATTTCAGCTCATGTGACAGCGTTTCCCCTTACGAGGGGTGGTTAATTAATTTGAACCTTTTAAAACTTTTATTCTACAATCTACATTCAACATCATCACTTGATAAGACACCAGAGGTGTTGAAACAAAATGGCTATTTTTGTAGTGATTTTATAAGATTTTTTGTTACAATTTTTAAATAAATAATTATATTATACATATATATATATATATATATATATATATATGTGTGTGTGTGTGTGTGTGTGTGTGTGTGTGTGTGTGTGTGTGCGTGTTAGGAAAATATATAACAGAGTGAAAAAAAACATTCGCGTGACGCATTTCGCCCTTTCAGACATCATCAGACTAATAAAGTGATGTGAACGTTGATGTTATTAATTATTAATTATAAACACGAATGAGAGAAGGCGCTGAAATATAAATTTAATTTTTCTTCTAAATATGTCTTTATGGTAGTTTAATCGATTTCATTTAGTTTATTTTTTTTATTTATGTATCTATGTACCTTCGGTGATAAAAATGCAGAAACATTATAAAAACAAAGTTTTATCGTCAAAAATATTTTTGTTCTTATTAAGATGAAAGATCGGAAAGTTTTTTTTTATTGCAAATTTTTAAGCCATTTTAGAAACTTAGAAATTTTAGCTGCAAATCTTTTTTTCTTTTTTTTCTGGCGTCAAAAAGAGACTATAAATTAGTACTTGAAATTTGGACGTCTTTTTGCGCTGAAAAACATATTGATTTGAAATTTCTTGCAAATATCAAATAATTGTCGGATTTTAATGAAATATTCACGACTTGCACAGAAATTGCATTAATTTCGAACAGATTCCTTTTTAGAAAATCTTTTGAATATCTATCTATCTATCTATCTCTCTCTCTCTCTCTATATATATATATATATATATATATATATATATATATATATATATATATATTATCGCTATATCTATATATCTATTACAGTTTATTCATTTACTTTTTTAAATTTTAAGAAATTTTTTATATCGTTTAATGTTTATGTTAGTCATAAAGACAGGTCATCAGAGTATTTAAAATCATCGAATACCAGAGTATTTAAAATAATCGAGGTTTTTTTTAAATACCAGAGTATTTAAAATAGCATTTTTAAATACCAAAGTATTTAAGATAATAGATTTTTTGAATACCAGGGTATTTAAAATAATCTATTTTTTAAATACCGGAGTATTTAAAAATCATCTAACTTTTTAAATACCTTTTTAAATAATCATCGAATTTTTAAATATCGGAGTATTTAAAATCATCAAAGACGATAAACTATTCAATAAACTATTAAAATATTTAAAATATTTAAAATTTTAAAAATTGCTGTGTAGTTTAAAAAGGTTATATATAAAAAACGTTTACATTGTATTCGTTATGTAATTTTATTTCAGTTATGTTCTTTTTACTTAACCCAACTCTCAATACATCACTCAAGACGTTAAAAAACACCCACATCCGTGTTAAGAAATGATTTTCTGTGATATTCAAAAGTAAAAGTAACTAATATTTGTATCAATTCAGAATAATTAAACTTTAAATCAGCTGATTTTTCTTAAGTAACTTTTCAGAAAAGTATATTTTTATTTTTTTTAGACAAAGTGAATTATATCTTGTCAATATGGAAGATTTTATAGATTTTACTGATAATCAGAAGTAAAAATTGCTTCAATCCATTTAAGTTCGGTTTGAAATAGAAATTGCTTATTGGAAATATTAAATTTAATCTATTATCTTGAAATTTAAACTAAAATAAAGGCTTTAAGAAATATTTTTCATTTTTAAACCTGCATCTTAAACCTTAGGTATCTCTTCTTTTGTGGGTATCTATCTATCTATCTATCTATCTATCTATCTATCTATCTATCTATCTATCTATCTCAATCTGTTTATATCTATCTATCTATCTATCTCAATCTGCTTATATCTATCTATCTATCTATCTATCTACCTATCTATCTATCTATCTATCTATCACAGTCTGTTGATATTTCTGACAGTTTTCTCATATCTATCTATCTATCTATCTATCTATCTATCTATCTATCTATCTCAATCTGTTTATATCTATCTATCTATCTATCTATCTATCTATCTATCTCAATCTGCTTATATCTATCTATCTATCTATCTATCTATCTATCTATCTATCACAGTCTGTTGATATTTCTGACAGTTTTCTCATATCTATCTATCTATCTATCTATCTATCTATCTATCTATCTATCTGTTTATATCTATCTATCTATCTATCTATCTCAATCTGCTTATATCTATCTATCTATCTATCTATCTATCTATCTATCTATCTATCACAGTCTTTTGATATTTCTGACAGTTTTCTCACATCTATCTATCTATCTATCTATCTATCTATCTATCTATCTATCTCAATCTGTTTATATCTATCTATCTATCTATCTATCTATCTATCTATCTATCTATCTATCTATCTATCCCAGTCTGTTCATTATCTATCTATCTATCTATCTATCTATCTATCTATCTATCTATCTATCTATCTATCACAGTCTGTTGATATTTCTGACAGTTTTCTCATATCTATCTATCTATCTATCTATCTATCTATCTATCTATCTATCTATATCTATCTATCTATCTCAGTCTGTTCATATCTATCTATCTCAATCTGTTCATTATCTATCTATCGATCTATCTATCTATCTCAATCTATTTATACTTATCTCATTCTGTTCTTATGTACCTTTCGACCTATTTAAGAGTGCACATTAACATAAGATTTTGGGGGCGAGTTGTTGGCAAACAGATATTCAAAATAAAACTAGTAGGAGCGTATTTACTATAAATAGAAATATGCTACCATGATGTCTCTTTTAAAAAGAAAGACCTCGTGTTTGGTGAGATGATGTATAGTAAAGTTTATAGTCATTTACGACATTTTCCTGCTAGTTTCCTTAATAATTCTGATCAACTTGCTTTGATTTGTTCCTGTTCATGGCTCTTGTCGAGCATCGCAACTTTGTCATCTTAGCAATTTCGATCGCACTGTAGTGTCTGTTGGGATTTCTTTTTTTTTTTTTTTTTAGTCTGTTAAATTGTAACCCCCAACACAGAAGACTTGTTTTTATTCCCAGTTTACCGATTGGAATTCATTTAATGATTTTCTTCGCTACTTAAATTTTTAAGTTTTCTACTAAAAATTGTTTCATTGAGGTTTCTTCTTGAGTAAAAGCCGGCATAATTAATTTTGAACCATCTCCGAAATACCAGGTGAAACCACAATGTTCATTATTGTTCACACCTGCCCTTTCAAGAATCAATTTTTCCGGCAGTACCAACGTGATAGTTCTAATCACGACAATCACCTCTTCTTGTCCGCTCATCATAATTGTAAACGTGTCCTAAATGCGATCAAGTCTTTGTTTTTTGATAGAATGAGGCACTGTACGGCCTCTAACAAGTTTGGTCTTCGTGACTACTGGTGGCTGTGTTAAATAAGGGCAAATCATCTATCTTTCCCCTCTTCACTCAACTGGAGGTGTTATCACCTTCTGTTGATAAAGCAGAATGCTTTGCTCGTAAATTCTCTTCCAATTCTACTCTTGATTCATCTGGAGTATCTTTGCCTGCCTTTCCACTTATAACTGATTTTCTATTGTGTGATATGCATATAACTCCATCCATGGTTTCTGCTGTCATATATAAGTTGGACCCCCCGCAAAGCATGGGGACTTGATGGCATCCCTAAAAGAGGCCTAAAGAAATGTGCTCTTGAAATGGCCCCTGTTCTCTTTAAACACTACAATGAATACCTTGCTGCTTCTTGCTTTCCTGCTTGTTAGTAATCATCTTCTGTAGTTCCTGTTTTTAAGAACTCGGGCAAACCGCCTGCTCCTCCTGACTATCAGTCTATGAGCTGTCTACCTCTTTTTGGCAAATCATAGAGGCTTTAATCATCTCTGAATTGGTTAAGCATCTCACTTCGCAAGGTCTTCTTTCAGAGAAACAATATGGCTTTTGATTCTCTAGGTCAACTGGAGATGTGGTAACGATTATTGCTGAAAGAATCTGTTAAACTTTAGGTAAAAATAGTGAAGCTTGAACTGCCGCTGTATCTCGAAGGCGTTTGACAGGATTTGGCATGCTGATCTTATTCACCCTTCAGTTGAAATGTTATGGTATTTCTGGCCAATTTTTTTTATTTCATTCAGTTTTTCTTAGCAATTTGATAAATGAACGTTGTCTTGAACGGCCACTCTTCTGGATCTTTTTAAAATTAATTTAGGCGACCCCCAGGGCCCTACATTGGACATGCGTTGTTCCCCAATGACCTTCATAATTTCTCATCTCTGTATCTATGTTGATAACACAAGTATTTAGTCCTGTCTTCGTGGTAAGCCTGTGCTGTAACCTAGAAAGGGTCATTGAATGAGGAATAACCAAAACGGAGGTTGCAAATGAAATGGTAATCTTTATAACATCAACAAAATGCAATACTCTCCAGCAGCGTGACGTAGGTAAACCACTGCTAATGGTGGACTACTTAGACACCATATTACTCCCACTTAGAGTAGTGTCCAACGTATTTATGAGGATTGGGACACGGATATTAGTATTCATAGCTACGATATATAACAGATTGATAAGTTCAATAAGGTCAAATTTGCAGCTGGTCTAAAAATGATCACTTACAATCTGTTGTTAATTGGAGCTGGGGAAGGCTTGTTAATTTTAAAGCCTCCAAAATTAAACTGCTCTCTTTTAATCAACTCAGAGAACATGTTTGCCTTTCTATCAGTATGGCTGATGCTAACCTCCAGACGAGTGATTCATTGCACCTTTTCGGTCTAATGTTTTCTACTGACATGAAGTGGAATGATTATATTGAAACAACTGCTAGGCCTGCTGCGAGGAAATTTGGTTTATTGAGTTATGCTAGACAATTTTTCTCGTCAGAATTTTACAGCGTTATGAGTGTACTATTCGTCTATGCCAGTGGTTCTGAAATGTTGTACCCCTGACACACTTGTGCAACCTGAAAGATGTCTAGATGCGACCTGGCATTCCAGAGAAATATGTGTCTAGACATAAGAAATAAATATACTTACTTTATTATATTGCGGTAACCGTCACGTTCATATTTATGTGAATTAAGCTTTTCTGCTCTCACCATAATTAAGTTCAAAAAGAGAGGAACTCTTCAATGTATTGAGGAATAAATGAAAGTTTGCCTATTAAATATACACCCAAACATTGAAGAAATCACTGAGACTCATGTTTCTCATAAACACAAGAATGAATAAATTTAAGGTATGCTTCATTTTATATTTCTTTATTGCATTATTTCTTTTCTACAATATTTGACTTCACTATAACATATTTTTCAGAAATTTGTATATAGTGCGCCTACAATTATTGGTAGGATTTCAAGTGTGGCCCGACTTCAAAAAGTTTGAGAATAATTGGTCTCTGCATTGAATATTGTGGCCACACCTGGTTTAGAGTTTCTGCTATGTATCTAGAGATTTTTGACAAAATTCCAAAACGATTCTGAAATGTTTTCGGTCCTGACCTGGCATCTCAGCTTCAGTCATTTTCCCACCCTCGTAATATAGCTTCCATTTTCATGGTAATTGTCTCGATGAGCTTTCAACTTTTTACTTTGCCCATACCCCACTTTGGTATTTCTATAATTCTGGTGCCCCCCTCCTGTAATATTTAATTCTTACATATTCAAAATTTTACTGCAATTTACGTGAAGGAATCTTAAAAGGCCATTAACTTGGTCTCTAAACAAGCCTCCAAAAACCATGGCGTCCATGAAAGAGAAAAATTAAAAAAACAAAAAAAACAAAAAGACAGTTAAATATATATATATTTTGAAAACATATAATAGAAAACTGAAAGGCAGAAATATAAAATATTTGAATGAAAACTTATTCTGTAATATACTTTGATCATTTTAATCATGAAATAATACTGCAAAATGAAATCTGAGCTCACGTTGGTTTAGTAAGCCGAAGGGTTCACATCCTGCGCATGCCCCACCAAAATATTACCATGCCCTGCCGGTGGGGCATATACGCCCCACGTTGGGAATTATTGATGTACTCGAATAACTTTGTCTCTGTACTCAATGAACCTTTGCTCTGTACCCAAACACCAGAGATTTATAAAAACTAAGGTAAGTTTGTCAACAATGTGTGTGTGCGTGCATGTATGTGTGAGAGTGTGTGTGTGCGTATTTGGCTGGCGGTTTCTTCGTCAGTTACTGTGAACATAAAAATGACCCAAGCCCACACTATCCAGGAAAGGATAGTCAATCAGCAGACATCAACATATTTATTTATTTTTCTTTCTTAACTCGTCTCCAAACGAAGTCTACTAAGATTTCTGATAGAGTCCATTAAAACACACCATACCTCTGCATGTATCTGTCTTTGTGCCACCTCGTAGACCTGCTTATGTGTGTACGTTTGTATCGCATTCAGATGTATGCGTAGGAATATATTTAAAACATTTTTATAATGATGATGATGATGATGTGTATATGTGTGCGAGTGTGTGCGTGTGATTGTCATTGACTCATTTCGTGCACGTATGCATTTTAACTTAATTATAAAAGCAAATAGTTCGTGTTACGAAGAGTTGAAAACAAAAGAATGAAAGGAACTTATTTTTGTCTATTGACGTATGAATATCGCCGCGGAATAATCTATTGACAAGCTGCCGTTGATGGGTATTTTTTTTTCTTAATCGCTAAAAATGTCGGGAAGATTTTTTTTCAATCACTTACAAACAGACGTTAATCTCATAATGAGATAAATATCGCAGACAACCAACTAATATTCAGATATTTTGGCCAGGAAAAAATCAGACTTTATTACTAATTTTTAATTTTTTCCTAATAAAATCATATTTATACGATAAAAGCCTATATTTATACAATTTTTTTATTTCTTTTAAAAAAATTCCGCCTTTTTATCAGCCGGGGAAGAATCCTACCTGTTCATCTACGTGAATACATGCGTATAGGCATACATCTATCTATCTATCTATCTATCTATCTCAATCTGTTCATATCTATCTATCTATCTATCTATCTATATATATATATATATATATATATATATATATATATATATATATATATATATCCATCTCAATCTATCTATCTATCTATCTATCTATCTATCTATCTCAATCTGTTCATATCTATCTATCTATCTATCTATCTATCTATCTATCTATCTATCTATTGACTCATCGATCGATTGGTCGATCTGTAACTGTCGGTTTATCTCAGTCCTTTCGTATTATCGCCTGTCAAATAGTCGTCACATCTGTTTCAATCTATTCATTTCTAACTAAATTTGTTTTGTATCTCACACTATGCATGTATGTATGTATCATTCTATCCATTTGAGTCTGTTTATCAAGATGTCTTGTTTTAGTTGCCGTGTAAAATTATCTATCTTCCTAAATACTTTTTATAAAGATACAAACACACACATACACGTTCTTTCTTTCTTTCTTTCGTCATCCTCACACACAGCTAGCTGCATAATATTTTACCATTCCTAGAACTAATTTCATACATATATCATCACACATACGTACATAGATTAATCTTACACATTAACCTCTTGCACCTCGCCACACACATACACTGACGAAACGATTTAAAATTATTGAAGTAATTTGAAAGCAAGCTAAAGGCTAACTCATCTTTTTTAGCACGAAAAGAAGTTTAACAAAGTTTTTTTTTAAAATTGATGCGTTTAACGATCTTTCAAATTAGCATACGGAGGAAAATAGGAGTAGCGGCTGGGAGGTGGGTAGAAAAAGAAAAGACGATAACGATATTCACCACACCTTCTTCCATTACATGTCACTTCATTCCCTCCTCGTCCTCCTCCTCCACTTTTTCTCCTCTTCCTTCACAATTTTTTCCTCTTACTTTTTCTCTGCCTTCCCTTCTTCCTTTTCCATTTTTCTCCTCCTACTTATTCTCTTCCTTCCCCTCTTCCTTCTCCATTTTTCTCCTCCTACTTATTCTTTTCCTTCCCCTCTTCCTTCTCCATTTTTCTCCTCCTACTTATTCTCTTCCTTCCCCTCTCCCTTCTCCATTTTCTCCTCCTACTTATTCTCTCCCTCACCTCTTCCTTCTCCATTTTTCTCCTCCCCTCACCTCTTCCTTCTTCATTTTTCTCCTCGTACTTTTTCTCTTCCCTCACCTCTTTCTTGTCCATATTTCTCCTCCTACTTTTTGTCTCCTCTCACCTCTACCTTCTTCATTTTTTCTCCTACTATTTTTTCTCCCCTATTTCTACATGGGATTTTTCTTTCTGATTTTCTCTTTTTTTCTTCTCTCTTTTCTTTTGATATTTTCTTTCTTTTTTCTTCATTTGTAATTTTTCTATTCCTTCTCTCTATCTACATTCTGTCATCATCATGTTTCTCACTTTTCTCCTCTTTTGTGTTTCTTTCTTTTTCTTTCGATGTGCTTCCTTTTCGTCTTACTCCTCTTCCTCCTCCTACTTCCGTGTACGTCTCTCTTCTTTCTTTTCTTCTTTCTTTTCTTTCTTTTTCTTTTTTCGTCTTCTTTTTCCTGAAACTTTCTCATCACCCCCTTTCATGCAGCCTTCTCCTCTTCCTCTTCAATTGCCTCATTCTCTTTCTTGGGTAAGATTTCTTTTACTTGTTCTTTGTCTTTTCTTCTTCTTTTTTACTTTTCCTTCTGTTACTTTTGTTTTCTTTTGTTGTTTTTCATATTTCTTCTTCCTTTTTGCTTTTCTTTCTTTTTTAAGTTTGAGGGCTGAGGCAACCAAGGCAACTTGGGAGTCACAACTATATCCTTAGGAATATCCCAATCGGAGAGTACCTGAGTGAACATGGCTACTCTCTCTTACGCTCACTCACGCTCTCTCTCTCTCTCACGCTCTCTCTCTCTATTTTTTTTTCTCTCTCTCTCTCTCTGTCTCTTTCTCTCTCTCTCTCTCTCTCTGAAGTATTTCTAACTGGGCTCCACCTACAAGGTTATGAGCTGTTTTTATTAAAAAAATGTGTCTCTTATACCCTCATCAAACTGGGTAACATGATGAACATATAGGGATTCGTATATTTTCATCTTAGCGACATATTTTGGGTCGTTTAGTTCTATGAATAACAATGCCAGCGACAATAATAGTAATGATTGTGAATGAGACAGTATGCGTGTTTTAATAAATTCTGTTGAAGAAATTTTATATATAAACTTTATATATTAGATTAATGGTGGTTAACTGGATGAAAAAAAAATGTTTCGGCTTTTAACCCCTTCTCCGGCATAGTCGTGTATATACGTTTTTTCCGAAAGTGTCTTTTTCAGACACTGACGAATAAACTCGTCCAAAACATAATCAAAAACCATCGTCAGACATATTTATACGTCGATCTTGATTCATTTTATGCTCATCGGAGCGTAAAATGAAACCAATTATTAATTCATACGCCCAGTGGAAGTGTTATCCACCTCAGTTTCTTAGTTACTATGTTAAAAAGAAATAAAAAAAAATCGCCAGAAAATGGAAAGTTTTTGCCAAAATAATTGGCGAGGAAAGAATTAAAGGATTTCATCAGGCTAAAATAAATAATGTTCTTGTTGATGCAATTATATATATGTAGGCGGAGGGGGTGAAAATATAAACAAAAACATTGATTTTAACTATAAATCGAGGAGAAACGCTGATAATGAAGGGTCGCTAAACTTTAAATGCAAATTTTAAATTCCTTCTGTCCGATCGGTCTAGACATACTCTTTAGCCGATTTCATCCACCTTCCGAAAGTTTTTGTTTTTCATCGCAGTTGTTGTAAAATATCCCACATTGTGAAAACAATAGATTATTTTTCACCAAGAAAAGCAATAAAGCCACTAAGACGAAAGGTGGGGGGTTATTGAGTGTTTGAGGATACAAGAAAAACTGCTATTAAGGAGGGAGGATAATAAAAGAACAAGAATTATGACGACATTGAAATGCAATGTCAATCGTTATCTACATAACGATTGACATTGCATTTAAATATTTGAAGATCAAAGGTAATAAAGCCACCAGGACGCAAGGGGGTTACTGAGTGTTAGAGAATATGAGAAAAACTACTATTAAGGAGAGAGGACAATAAAAGAATAAGAATTAAGACAGAAGATAACAAGGGACATTGCATTTAAATATCTGAAGATCAAAGGCAATAAAGCCACTAGGATGCAAGGGGTTACTGAGTGTTATAGAATACGAGAAAAACTACTGCTAAGGAGAGGACAATAAAAGAACAAGAATTAAGACGATAGTAGATAACGATTTGCATTGCATTTAATTTTTGAAGATCAAAATGCGAGAGAAGAAACTGTTAGCATAGAACTTACGGTTACATCTAGCCATTTCAACTGTAAAATTATGAGACTTGACCGCCAATCTAGTACTGCGCTTAAATTCATAAAGTCTAGATACGATAGCGGAAAGTTCATCAGAACATTTACCATGGGCGTTTTTATAGAAATAGCACATGGAAGCTACATTACGACGGTGGGAAAGTGGCCGAAGGTGAGATGCCAGGTCAGGATCAGTAACATTACAGATTCTTTCTTGTACTTTATCAAAAATCCCTAAATATGTAGCAGAAGCACCAGACCAGATGTGGCAGCAATATTTAAAGCAAGGACGAATGGCAGACTTATAAATATGTAAGATAGATTCAAGCGAGAAGAAAGGTCAAGCCCGATACAGGGGAACATCTTTCTTAGTCGCAGGCCTAGAAAGTGATACAGTATAATCTTTGCAGTCCATGTCAGCGGAAATATTAGTTTGAGAAGGCTCGATGAATCTCTCTCTTGGAGGTTAGCATCAGCCATATTGATGGAACGTAAGATGGTTCTCTAATTAAAATTAAAATGGTTCTCTCGATTAAATTATCGAACAGCTCAGACATACTGTAAAAACAAGAATAAATTGATGTATCATCAGCATAGCTACAGATACCAACAGGAAGTTCGTTTTGTTAAGAAAATTGGAATATGGTACGAACTTGGACGCAAATTTACCTTGGAAGTCTCTTTTAATTAAAACTTAGGTCAAAATTATGGTCAGATTTATTACGATGAACGAATAATGTACTGAGTGTGTCGTTTTGTAATATCCTTTTCGTGTTTATATATTCTGTTACTTGATTTTCTAGAAGTCTCACCTATGTATATCTTGGGTATTTTATTACATTCTATAGTATTTATTCCTGCTTTAGGTTTAAGGTTCTTATTTTGTTTGGCATTCATTAAATTCTTTATTATTTTAAAAGTATTTATATCAAACTTTATATTACATTTTAAAAAAATATTTTCAATTGAAAACGTCATTGAGGTATTATATCTAGTTTTATTAAGATTAGTTATATTGTTTCTTTTTCTATGTTTTTTATGTTTAATGCTTTTTCTATGTTTTTTATGCTTTTTCTCTGTTTTTATGCTTCTATGTTTTCTATGTTTTTATGATTTTTATATTTTTGTGTTTTTTCTGTTTTTAATGTTTGTATCTTTTTATGTTTTTCTGTTTTTTATTTTATTTCTATGTTTTTATGTTCTTTCTGTTTTTTATGTTTATGCATTTTTTATGTTTTTCTATGTTTTTATGTTTCTATGTTTTCTATGTTTTTATGTTTTTTATGATTTTTATATTTTTGTTTTTTCTGTTTTTAATGTTTGTATGTTTTTTTTTGATTTTCTATTTTTTATGCTTTTCTATTTTTTTTATATTTTTATGTTTTTATGCTTTTATATTATTTCTATGTTTTTATTTTTTATGTTTTTTATGTTCCTACGTTTTTTATGTTTGCTTTGATGAGCTTTCCTTTTAGTATCATATATGAGATAACTGCTATATTGGAGGAGTTTAAAAATATTTACAATTTATTTTCATCATGTAAATATTGAGGATTAAAATTTTCAAGGGTTTTTAAATAGAAGCCGATAATTAATAAATTCTCTAAATATTTCAACGCAGCAACGAATCCATTGCTAGGTCAGCTGCTAAGAAAGTTGATTCACTATTTCGGGCGAGGCAATTTTTCTCTCCAGAATCTATCTTACATTCTATAAATCTATCATTTGTCCATGCTTAGAATATTGCTGCCACATATGGTTTAGTGCCCCTGCTATTTACCTTGAGCTCCTTGATAAAATCCAAAAAAGAATCAGCAATATTACTGGTCCTGATCTGGTAGTTCGACTCCAATCAACTTGCCACCGCTTTAAGGTTGCTTCTATGTGTCCTTTCTATAAATACTTTCATGGTAATTGTTCGGATGAGCTCTCCGCTAGGGTACCTAGACTTTTTGAATTTAAGCACAGCACTAGACTGGCGTCGAGATCTCATCAATTTACAGTTGAGCTGGCTAGATGTAGCCGCAAGTTCTATGCTAACAGTTTCTTTTCTCGCACTTCTTGCTTTTAGAGTTCCATTCCGGTTCCATGCTTTCCAGCCAACTTTAATCTTCAAAAATGTAAATGTAATGTCAATTGCTATCTACTCTCCTCCTGATTACTCTTTTCTTTTCCCGATCATTATCAATGTATCTGGTCCTAATTCTTCCACATTCTGTAACACCTTGTGTCTTAGTGGCTTTACTGCCTTGCATGAGGGGAAGCCAATTAAAAATAAAGTAACAATTGACATATAATTATTTTCTAAACTATCAAATTTTCTTTTATTTTTAGGTGATCATGAATGCAAACATTTTGAGAAAATGGCGTCAACCTCGACCACATCAGCTGGATCAGAGATGACAGAAGCGGACACACAGAGAGGAGATATTTCCGGTAGTCCAGGCTTGACGAGGTCTCTCAGTATTTCATCGGCTGATACATTTTTAGGAGTACCAAACAAAGGTAACATTGCTGGTGTAAAGCGTTGTTATGGTAGTGCATCTTCTAGGTCGCTTCACTTTTCTAGCCTTCTAACAGACGAAACTAAATGTAGCTCTGCTTCTTTGCCTACAATATATCCTATAAGTGTTAAATTCTCCAAGCCTCCTTTCCTCATTATGTGTCCTAGAAATGTTAACTGTCACTTTCTGATCCTTAGCAAAGGTGTCTTCAAGTTTACATTTTCCTTAAAACTTCTTCGTTTTTCACGTTCCATCCAGGGTATTCTCAATATCCTTCTGTAGAGCCACATCTCAGGTACCTCAAGCCTCTTTTTCATCTGTGAGGAAACTGTCCCATATTCACGGCTATATAAGTGAATTTACATTACATTGCACTTCAGCCCTTTTTCTTTTTCTAACAAAAATCTTCACTTTTTTATTACTTTCTTTAGTTTTCGAAAGGCAACTTTCGTTATTGCAGTACACCTTCGAATTTCTCTGTTACATTTTTCGCGGATTGTTAAAACACTATTTTTATCCTTTCACCCCAAGCAAGACAATAAAGCCACTAAGACGCAAGAGGTTACTGAATATGAGCAAATATTAAAAAAAAATAAGACACTATTAATTAGCAAGAACAATAATTGAAGAGGATTTAAGAAGACAAAACATAACGACTGACACTGCATTTAAATTTTTGAAATATCAAGACTGGGAAGCGGGAAGCCGGAAGAGAGTTCCACAGAAGAGAAGTGCGAGAGAAGAAATTGTTAGCATAGAACTTGCGGTTACAAATAGCCATTTCAACTATAAAATGATGAGACCTTGGCGCCAATCTAGTACTGCGTTTAAATTTCATAAATCTAGAAAACATAGAGGAAAGTTCATCCGAATAATTACCATGAAAGTATTTATCGAAAAGGCAGAAAGAAAGCAATGTTACGGCGGCGGGAAAGGGACTGAAGCCGAAATGTCAGGTTCAGACCAATAATATTGCAGATTCTTCTTTGGATTTTAACAAGAATCTCTAAATGCATAGCAGAAACCCTAGACCAGATGGGGCAACAATATTCAATGCAAGGACAAATAACTTTCCCACACAGTTTCATTCCGGTACTTGTTTGAATTTAGGATGTCACCAATGTCTGCGATATGGATTGTGAGTTTACATCTCGTCGAAGTCCATTTCTTTGTTCCGATCTCACACTGCATTCTGTTGTGCTGGGATTCAAATTAATCCAAACCTACGATAGGGTTCTGTGCATGTGTCCAATGTAAGAATTTAATCTTATTTTTTTTATATATATATATATATATATATATATATATATATATATATATATATATATATGGCCTGATCATTGCGTCTAGCATGAAACAATCTGTTACCTCTGAGTGTTGACTTCAATGTTCACTTTTATATTTACATACGCTCTATCTCTGATACTGAGCACTTTATCCCATAAATGTCGCATACCTTATATATATATATATATATATATATATATATATATATATATATCAGCGAGCTTTCATTTAACCCCCAAAAAAAATTATGAACTCAAACGTAAAAAATAAACATAACCAATATCATATACCTATAATATAAATGTAAACAGAACAAAAACAAATTGCTGCATCAGTTTTTTTATTATTTTTTTATCCTTTACTTTCAATGTTGAAAAGACATAAGGTAAATATAGGCAAAATGTCCCGTGAACCAATAAATGGGCTAAAAAAAATGTTACTTTCATAGCCATTTGATAAAGTGAAACATGCTTCTCTAATGTGAAGACTGTTCCTTTCTTTTGCTACACAAATACTTAATTCGAGGTCGAACTTTAGATAAACATACACGGATTTCTTTCTCAATTGAGAGGAGACAATTTCTGTTTTTGCTCTTGATACTTGTTAGATAAGAAAAGGCTTGTTCACACATGTCAGACGTTGAAAACTGCAACAATATATTAATTGCTTTCCTGTGAATAGTAGCAAACTCTTCTTTCACAGAAATCAATAACTTGTCCCGAGATAGGTCTGTAAATCTTATCTTGAGTGTATGATCACACTGCAGCTCACAAAGTTTTTCCTCGTTTTTTAATGTCAGATTCTCAGGATGACTAGCAGATTCAGAGTATGAATCACGCACCCAATTATGTGTTGAAAAGGAAGGAAAATAATTTTCAATTCGGATATAGAGTTCCTCCAGATGGAATTCAATTAAATAAAAAAGTCAAAAGTGCATTAGCTTGTCTCACCAGTCCTCTCGGAACCCTTGGGAACTTTTTGCGGAACTCTAGGGTCCCGGGGAACCCCGGTTGGGAAACGATGCTCTAACAGTTTCTTTCCTCGCCTGTGGAACTCCCTTCCGATTTCTTGCTTCCCTGATAACTACAATCTTCAAAAATTTAGATGCAACGTCAATCGTCATCTTCTGTCTTCTTGGACCCTTTTTGTCCTTTCCGCAAACATCCTTACTAAAGTCTTCTCATTCTCTTTCACTCTCTATAACACCATGCATTCTGGTGGCATCATCGCCCTGCTTGCTTGGGGTGAAAACGATTACGAAAATGTTTCGGCTTTAAATAACCTACAAAGGGTTGTTAAACCGTAAAAAATCAATCACTCAATCCTACTTTAAACACGACCTTGCGTCATATCGTTTTCGTTTGAGCATGCGCATAATTCCTTACCTATATCCGTGCTGAAATCGAATTTTACTCTTACAGCTTCCGCTTACAGATCTTACGTTGACTCTCCCACCATAGCTAGCTGGTCAACTTTTTATACGTTTTCAAGGTGAAAATCATGTCATCATACGTGTATAAAACACATGCCCTGATTATGTACTCTGTACTCATTCGACCATGACGTGTTCATTTGACGTGTACTCTATGACATATGACCACCATGTTCAAGATATAAAACTAAGCCAAATTTAGTGAATATATATAGGAAAAATGATTTTCTGACATTTTTTATTTTCTATTTTCAGCTGATTCTCCTTCTCCAAGTTTCGGCCGGACTCCTTTAACTTTTCCTTACCCCTACCATCAAATTGGCTTGTTCAATATGCACCAACAAACTCTAGCAGCAGCCTCGTCACTCTTGCAAAAGCCCTTCGCTCACACAACTCCGACACCGGCTAGCGCCACAAGCTCGGGTAGCGTGCTACAAATCAGTCCCAACGCAGCCTTGACGGCCGCCTACCCAGGTTGGCCATACTATATTCCAGCATCACTACCACAGTTGTCTTCTCTGACTGGAGAATCGTTCGCCACTGGAGGACAGCATACTACTGGTCAGAGTTCGAACCTGTCACCAGCTGGCGCTGCAGCCGCCGCTGCCGCTGCGGCAGCAGCTGACATCACAGGCCAAAAGGACGCCATATTGTCTTCGAGTATTGAAAGTTTACGATACAGAGCAAGGCAACATACCGCTTCCTTGGGATTATTCTAATACAAATGCACCACAGCTTCTATATTTCGTAAAGAAACCCAATTTTATTTCATCATTACAAAAGATTCTAGTTAATTGAAATTCGACGGGAATAAAGCATTTGGGTCGATTTAGGGGACAGCCATAGTTATACGAAGTAACATATAAGAACGGAAACTCAAAATAAAAAGGCGGGGTTATTATTTATCCAAGCTAATATTTCGAAAAAAAATAAAAAATAAAAATTTTATTGTTTATTTTGAAAATTAATGGCAGTAATGATTTTAGACAAATAAAACAATTTCAGTTCAATATCATCATTATAAACTGAGGCCAAGAAGACAAATTTAGTCTTTCGTTTGTTTTTCAGTTCCAAAAAGTCGAGGTCTAATACACCCAGCCCTCCTAGAACGGTGTATTTGAACAAAATCAGCAGAGCTATTAAGTAAAAATAACGGATTGTCTTCATTATGTACTTATATATATATATATATAAAACCTTGTTGTCGCCTATATACTTGATTAATTGCTTCCTTCTCAAACGCATCGTAGATCTAGGGCTTTAATTTTTCATCCTCTAAATGACATAATTGCAGCTATATTCTAAAAGGCTGTTCCCCCAACAGATATACAACAGCTACCACCGTACCGAGGTTGATGTAAAGAACTGGAAAATGACAAACAAAAATGTGGCACACTTGGACCTTCGTGCCTCCCCCATCAACCAATAAAACGCAATAACAAAAGGATGGTTTTTCCATTGACACAGCTTTTATTTTAACCACCTTCACTCACTTTATTGTTTCAAAAAGCGATGATTAAAGTTGTAATAAAACTTAAACATATGATGAAAGTGAATGTATACATTTTCATTATTCTTGAGAATTAACAACAAAAACATTAAACACTATTTATTATATTGTTTATTGGAATGGTTGACAAATTATTGGCTAATTTTCAATTGATTCGAACTTTATAAAATGGTAAATAAGGAATTCCTTATAGTTGGTTCACATATTTTAATTTAGTAAATGTTTATAAATTTATGAATGAAAATAGTTTTCATATTTATTTCTTCATCAATTGGCAAATAATAAATATTGCACGGCATTAGTTTTTAGAATGTTGTAAATATAAAATTATTCTTGTAAATAAGTATTCTAATAAATAGATAGTTTGATATTTTGTTGAGAATTCTCAAAAACAAAAAATGTATAAATTAATTTTCATCATATGTTTCGATTTTACTACAATTCTAATCATCACTTTTTAAAGCAATGAACATTGCCGAGGAGTAAAGGTAGTTAAAATAATAGCGATGTCAAGGGAAAAACCGTCTTTTTGACACTCCGTTTTCGTTTTGTTTTTTGTTTTTGTTTTTTGGGGCGGGCACGAATATCCAAGTTTGCTGAAAATGTCTTCACGCTGCCCTAAGTAAATGGGTTGGTGGATTAAATAAGCGAAGGAAATTCTAAAAGTTATGTTTTACCTGGATTTACCTTAAAAATATGGATGCTTAATTCACCTTTGAAACAATTATGTGGAATCTGTTGTAATATTTTTTTGGTTTTGATTGGTGACACTGGCCATAAGAAAAAATATAGTTTGGACATTGTAGTTAATGATGTAATTGTAAATTTCCCCTTACTATTTTTTGTTAGGATCTTTCTCTTGTTTAGAAACTTTCATCACATTTCTTTCTTTTTTTTAATGCACGTTGAAATCGGCAGTAATAGAAATTTCTACCACTTTGGTATCGCGGATTTTTTGCACTTAAATAACTGACTGAAATTCATTGTGTGCTGTTAAAATACCTGCTGAAATTTTAACCTTTAAACTAAATATAACTTGTAAAAGAACGGATGTCTTTGTCCACATCCTTCGTTTAAAAATGATAGGTATTTGTTCTGTGATCAAATGGAAACCTGATGACTTGCGTAATCGGAACTTTCTTCCAATTATTCTAATTTTCAAAGAACTATTTTCTAAGAAAAGAATGAACTTGTTTATTATTACATTTTTTTTCACAAGCAACGGGAAAATATTCTTATTCATGACATGAATTTAGGGAAAAAAATTCACAACGCAATGCTACACTTGAAAATCGTTTTTTTTCCACACGATATCGACCATTTATTCAACTTTGACAAATTTTGGTAGCAGACGATAATTGCTGCCATTTCGCGCTGAAAAGAAGTCGTGATATAGATTTTTCGAAAAAAAAAATCTTTTAAAAATATTAAAAATATATTGCTCTTCAGACTGGAAAAAAAATCATCTTGTCTCTTACTAACGACAAAGACCAGAACGGAAATTACAGATATCCTTTGCGTTAAATCATTACGAAGCGAAAACAATCAGCATATCTATGCAGCGTCGAAAACCGAAGTAAAACGGAAGGAACGCCGCGCAAGGACTTCTGTGATTTTTTTTTTTTTTTTTTACAACTCACCTTTTTTTAATATATATATATGCTGCACAAAATTCAGCTTCTCTGGTTACTATTTACTTTTTTCTTTTGACAACTAGTCCCATTTGACTACGACCAAACTAAGTATTTCATTATATAGTTTTATTTCTTGCTTCCAGAAATTTTGAACAAAAAGCTTTTAACGAAAATTAAAAAATAAAACCATTAAAATAACAAACTCCACAGCTGCACAAGCCATTTATTTATGAAATTATAGCTGAAGGACTAAATAAACGCAAGAGTTGTCGCCTGGTTATGAGTCAGATTGTTACTAAGAGTCAAAAATGAAGCATTGTTTCAATCGCCTGTAACTTTTCAACACAAAGATGCTTTGATATAACAGCAAATAATCACATATAAATGCACAAGGTTACACAAACGCACGTGTGCACGCACACGTATAAAAAATACGTCACACATGCAAACATGTATTGTTATACACTTGAATTTTAGAAGTGCTATGAACATACACACACACATTTAAAGAAGGCCTGGATTTTTACTTACAGATTTTATTACTTAAACATTATTTTCGTGGTTACTCGTATTTGAGTAGACGTTCCGTTTATTTATTAAACAGTATATTTATTTATTTTCATCAACCATCCATGCTATATTTATGGGTTAAAGTGCTCACTATCAAGGATAGAGTATATATATATATATATATATATATATAAAGACTTTTTATGTTTATACATTCTTTTTATAGATACAAATATTTAAGTAATTGCTCTGTTTATAATAAACAGTATTAACAACATTTACCGGCCTGAATGTCCGAGAAATTTTCATAGAAAATATGCGTCCTCCGACAGGAATCGAACCTGTATCCCATACGGAACCGTCATATAGCCTGACGTGCCTTAACCGATTGGGCCACGGTTAACAAGGTCGATTTTACTGTTTTTAAACACAAATCTCCATGATTTTCTCTTATTCATTCAATGCGTAACCAAATGTAAACAAATGACGTCATACATTATGAGATGGACTATATATATATATATATATATATATATATATATACAGGGTGTACCAAAATAATGTATACACACTTTGAATCATTATAACTTATTCAATTTATGTATTTTGACTTGTAAATAAGATTAATACAAGAGAAAGAATACACATTTAAAGAATTTGAAAGTAAAATATACAAAAAACATAGAAAATTAACTTTAATAAGATAAAAGCTACTTGAAGCAATGGCAGAATGTTCATATAATGATGAGTTCACATCAAGTTCTCAAAATGGTTGCCGTTCTGTTCAATACACTTTTCATATCTTGAAGAAATAGACCTACAAATGTCCAGTATCATTTCCTCTGGTATTTGAACACATTCTTCTTCAATTGCTACTCTCATTTCAGCAATTGTTTCAAGTTTCCTGCTGTAAACTTTGTTTTTATACCCCCAAAAAAAAAGAAATCCAAGGGCGTCAAATCTGGTGATCTAGGTGGGTATTCAACTGTCCCTCTTCTTCCAATCCATCTGTTTTGCATATTTCCATCCATTTAAGTTCTCACATCACGGTAAAGTATTATTAACTATTAATATTTAAAGAGTGTATATGTTATTTTGGGACACCCTGTATATATATATATATATATATATATATATATATATATATATATACGCACAGGTAAGATGAGAACGAATAGAGTACAATTCCAATGTTCTTAACATGTAATTTAAAAGAGGGCTCAGTACAGAATTGTTCGCTCCGCTACGGTTGAGCACTGTTCACATTTATTTAATACTCTAACATGCAAAAGATCAATTTCGGAATTTCGATAAAAAAAAACATTCCCAATACAAACAAACTGGAATATTTTGAAAAACTGGTTTTAAAGACTGAAGATCTCATTTGAAGAATGAGATGGAAAGCTTACTTCTTCCTTCTTGATCGGGATGTTTGAAATGTATCAGATCCTTATGGCTTTAGAAGTTTAAAAATTGCACATCACATTGAGCGCTTACACGGCTTTGAAAACGATCTACTAAGCATTATGAATGACATCTCTTTTCATAAAAATAGGAATCAGTTTTAGTGGCATTTAGATTGTATTGTTAGGGATATTAATAGAACCAACCACATATTTGTTAAATCTGATAAAACGGCTAACTTTTATAAATTTAATCCCAATGCATTAATCAAAAACAATTTAACTAAAAATTATAAGAAGATGAATATTAACATTATTAATTTTGTTGTTAGAATTAACACTGCCTGTAAAAATATTACTGATAAACTTAAAATTAGCAATTGGGTTAGTAAGCTCTTATTAAATTATCGTATGTCTTAAAGGTCATAAACCAGACTTTCAGATCAAACTTCTTACGAGGATTATCAACCCTACCAGACCAGAAATCGGAAGGATTAGCAAAGTTATCCTGGATCAAGTCAACAAACAGATTAAACAACGTCTAGGACTTATACACTGGCTTTGGAATTTGAAAAAGAATATTCTAACATCTCCAGTGAAGAA